TCAATCATACTGCAGGGTCAATTAATAATAGCAATTGGAAGATTCTCACCTTTTCCCTTACAAAGAAACTTATCAACTCCAAGAACCGAAGCAATCGCATCCTACAAATCGGACTTATTATCAGTAAGACATTCATACCAAATAAATAAGGGATGAATAACATATACATTGATGTATGTCCTTACATGGACTTGATCAGCCTGAAACCGGACTAAATTTTCGAGATAATAAGGAGATATAATAACATCGCAAGTATTGGGGAAGATCTGACGGACGATATTTGTATGTGGATAGTATTTGTACAGAAACATCTCGCTATTGTCATAGAACAAAACATCCCCCTGTGTTGAAACTGTCACCGGCATGAACCACCTAGACTCCCATGGCTTAATAGCTAGATAAGCTAAACTTATAAAATAAGTCATGCTCCATCTTTCTTCCTCGGCATCCAATTCCATGGTCCAAATCTCTAGATTCCAATCAAGATCGTCTTTACTAAATCGGGCTGTGACTATAGCTAGACGGTCCCCAAGGCTCATTATCTCAGTATCTAACTTATATCTCAAATCAGCCGGCACCAAGACATCATGGAACTCTTCCGTGTGAAGATCCAAAGCTAGTATCTGGAAAACTCGGCAAGCAAGCGATCCAATCTCAAACCAGTAAATTGATCCATTCACATAAGCCGATCTCCTTCCCACGTGAACCTGGTAAGGAGGTGGACTCACTTTCCGCCACCCCCCAACGTCAACATCAAGAATATCACAATGGCTAGGATCAAAGAACATCCTCACCACTTTATAACTCCCACTAACTTTGTCTCTGCCGAATCCCATCGACCAGAATCCCGGAAAGTAACGCCAATGTCCTCTAAACAAAACGCTCTTATGGCGGGGTATAAAGAGAGAGGATACGGGATCCGGCCCGGAATGGAATCTCCGGAGTTGTCTGGTCGCGAGGTTTAGGACATTGACCCAACCTGGTTCGGGTATGCAGACCAAACCCTCGCAACTCATCGTCGGTCGTGCCGTGTTGCAGTGTAGATACACGAACTCTTCGTCCCCTTCGAAGCGAGACCCGGGGAGTATATTCGGCGGGCCGCCGCAGTCGCAGTGGTGACCGACGAGGATTTTCCGGCGAGTCTTCCCAGTTTCTTGGGAACTCAGATGCATTTCCACGAAGCTCTTTGATTCCAGAATCGATCTCCATTCTCTCGACACAGTTTTAGATATGAGTAGAGATTTCAGGGGAAGTTTCAAGAAGATGTCTTTCATAAGCTCGCGAGGAATATAGATCGAATTAGGGTTTTCTTCTTTCCTCATTGTATTAGGTTTGCTCTGTTTTCGTGTTCCCAAAGTATTAATATATACTTTGCGTGTGATAAAAGCAGACTAAAAAGGAAAATTTTCATTTCTCACATGTACTTGTCTTGAATTTTTTTTGAAGACAATTTTTTTTTTATCTTTGTTGACTTTTAGTTGGTTGCCCTTTCGATTATTTTTTAAGGAGAAAGGGGTTGCCCTTTCGATTATTTTTTTTTAAGCAGAAAAAGGTTGATTCTTTTTGATAATCATTTTATATATTTTTATATTATATTTATTGTATCATATAATTCTGAATATTTTGTGATTTGATTCTTTTTTTCACAGTATTCATTTTGAATTTCTCGTCTTATCACAACTTTGATCAAATATTATCTATTCAAGAATATTTGGTTTATTCAAACAAGTACGACAAAAAGAACATATATGATATTAGATGTCCGAATTATCCATTTAAAAAATTCCTTAACTTTTCATAATTTTTTCAAAATATTTGTTTTGAAGTTGACTTTTATCCAAATTATTGAGAATATTGTAAATAGATTTTCGATAATGCAATTTATCAAACCCACTTCATTGCCTGAATTTTTTTTGAAAATTGTTTTCTATCTTTCTAATTTCTAATTCCCATCACAATATCGTAAATTTCTGTCTTAAATTTTGAAATACTCAAAACTGATATTTATTATCATTTTTGTATATTTTTTGACAAGACATTATAGTTATCTATTAATATTTGCTATTTTTTTATATATAATGTTAATGTTAATGTTACTTTGTGTATTATAATTTTTTTTAATGTTTCCTATATTTATATTAAATGTTAATGTTAATTTATATTTAAAAAAAAATAAAAAACAATTATTAATTAATGAGATGGATGCTAAGGTGGAAGCGCCATAAGAGAAAAAACTTACTTTATATTTATATATATATATATATTCGAGAGTAAATTTCGGAATGCTTACATGGAGTGTTTTGATAGGTGGGTGGACCTGCTGGGGAGATTCGAAATCTGGGGGACGAGTCAATCTGAAATACACGGGAGAAAGCGGACGAGGTGAAGCAGAAAGAGGTTGCCCTTTCGATTATTTTTGGACGCTCAAATCAGAACAATGCACATGACCTATTAGGAGGATATGAGATATCGGGAGAGCGGAAAGGGAGTGGGTCACTTTGTCAACTCAGAATGATCTTGACAAAGCTTTTAGGGAATCCCTTTTATGAATGAAGCTAGAAAATGAACTTATCTCTTTAGAATTTCTCATCCTCTTATCGTTGGTATAAAAAAGGTATTTATAGAAAATACCTGGTTGCAAATTGGACACGGGCTGGGGGCTTCAGTCATCTCTCCAGATCAGATTCACGCTATTATCCATTAACTTGTCTTTCCCTATTATTCTCGAACTGATAGGACTTGTCTATGCGTGTTGCTAAAGTAAGAGCCGTTGATTTGCTCTGCCTTCTCCTAACCACAATCATTGCAGTTTATCTTAGTAGATGCAGAACATTTAATGGTCATCCAAGCAGTGTCCGTTTCCCAGACATTAGATTTAATGGACCATGGCACAATTTTCGGCCCAACAGTTGCCTCCAACTATCGAAGCTGGTTCAAGCGAGGTTCAGAAGTCTATCCTCCTTTCATTTTCCTCGGCGTGGTCACCTGGGAACATTAAAGGATTATTAAAACAAGCATATCAACTGCTTTTCATTAGTTTGCGATAATCCATCTGTACACCAGGAAGACGATATTAAAGAATGATACTCGAAGGAAAGTTTCCTGAAAGGGGAGTCTCAGGAAGTAATCTCAGAAGATAATTTAAAAATTTTAATCCTTAATCCGAGTATATAAATTCAAGGATGTGTTCATGAAGGATTTGAAGTTTTCTTATTCTTTTGTGAATTGGGCCTTTGTTAGGCTTTTTATTCTACACATCTTATGGATTGTTACAAAATAATTACACTTAAACACACACTACTACTTACTTGTACAATTAGGTACCAAAAATCATATAATTATTTTAAGTCATTTTGTTTTTCTACAACAATTTCCAAAAAAAACTTTTGTGTGATACCGTTACGAACATAATAAAGGAGGTAAATTAATATGCTGTAAACTTTTAATAATTTTGAATTTCAATTGTTTATCGTAGAAAAAAATTATATCGTGCTATAATTAAATTAATTTTAATCGTTTAACGTATCACTTCCAAAATATGTAATGAAGAAACAAAAATAGTCTTTAGAGCATCTTCAACCCTATTCTATTTTCAACTCCAAATGCTATTTTGGAGTAAAATTCTCTCCAACCCTACTCTATTTTCAACTCCAAAATAGAGTAAACCTAAATACTACTCCATATTTGGAGTAGATCTAAACTCTACTCCATTTTAGAGTTAGACTTTAATATTTGTAAATTAATCTTTTAGATTTAAATAATTATTTTATACTATTCAATATGTATAAAAAATATTATAAAACTGATAATTATGAATGTTTAAACATTGCAATTATTCCTAAAAAATTACAAAATATAATAAACTTTAAAATACATAATAAGTGCTAAAATTAAGATAAATAATATAAATAAATTTAAGACAACAAATACAAAAGACATTAATAATAATTTTCTTTAATAATAGTAATGTTTACATAAAAATTGCATATGTTTTTTGTGATGTTATGTAATTTTCATTATTTGATAAATATTTAAGTTATAGTTTTTGAAAGAAATTGTAAATAAAAAAATAAGTGAGATTTATTTGTAAATTTTAAAACTAAAAAGTATTTATAATAAAATCGAATAAGAATCTATTTAGAATATTCTTTTTTGGAATAGAAAATAGAGAAATATGTTGGAGCAAAACACAACTTCATTTTGGAGTTATTCTATTTTAAAGTAGAAAATGAAGAAATAAATTAGAGATGGTCTTAATTAGACAAAATATAATTTTTACTGTTATTTTAAAATTGCTGTAAAAATAGAAGATGAAGAGTGTTAAAAGTACAAAAAAAGTTTTTACATCAAGCAGATTGGGGGAATCGTAGAATTTAATCTCTCCACCGCCACAAAAAATTTAAACTCAATTCTAAATTTAATATTATTAAAATAAATTTAAACTTAGAAACTGAGATTTTGTGAATTATTTTTTTCTTTTTTCTGAATACTCCAGTCAAGATTTTAAAAAGAAAGTTGGGTAGGTTTTCACAAATATTTCTATATTCAGGTTTTCGTAAAAATTAATTCTCATTTTAAAGATATAAATCTACCTTTCTAAAATGAAAAAGAGATTAGATTTTAGTTAAGATAATTGAAAGAAACAATAAATGCCTGAAAACCAAAAACACGAGGTTTTGCTAATTAGCTAAATTATCCTTTTCTGAATCGTGCAATCAAGATTTTTGATTTCATAGAAAGAAAGTTAGGCTTTAGGTTTCACAAGTATTTTCATATTCAAATTTTCGTAATACTTAAATGAAAAAAAGAATCAATTTAGTTTTCTTTTTGAAGAAATAATATTACCTTCCCGAAAAGAAAAAGAGATTAGATTTTAATTAGGAAAATAAAAATGGAAACATCTAAAAAGAAATTGGAAAAAAGCAATAAATGCCTGAAACCCAAAAACCCGACCCGAGAGAACCTTTTCCCTTTAAATGCTTCTTCTCACAAGAACCTCTGTTTCCTTCAGTTTTGAGTCCTCTCTCCAATTCTTATTACACTTCCAAATTCTGTTGTTGTTTTAATTTTGCCGCGCCCTTTCGCGATGACGTCTTCTTATAAACAGATTCTTTGTTATATTTTTTTCATACACTCTTTTTCATCTCTCCCTCAGAGTCGGTCGAGTCGAAGAGCATCATCATCTTCATGCTCATCGGTGAGTTTTGCCCTTAGATTCCGATTCAATCAATCTAGCTTATGATGTGTAGTTCGTTCTAGTTGTTTGCCTAGATAGACGATTTCTAGGTTTATAGTGAATCACAGCAATCGAGGAATTTGACGATTTCTAGGTTTGAATTGAGTATTGTAATTAACTACAAAGATGACGATTTCTGGTTTGAATTGAATTCAGTGTGATTCGACTTGTATGATTCCTAAGTCCTGAACCGTTTGAGTTCATCAACATATGAATTTTGTGTTTGAAATGCCGATCCAGTCTTCTTGTCGAGTCGTGACTCGTGAGTTTCCTCTAATCGGCAGATATGAGTGATGAACAGCTAGAAATTGCTGAAATTAGGCTAGCAAAGAGACTATCTCTCTTCAGAGACTATGCATCTGTCCTTCTGGTCGCTAACAATTGGTATGATCATTTGTACTTTTTAGCATTTCTTCTTGTTGATCATCATTTCTTCTTGTTGATGTTGTTTTCTTTTTTTACTTTAGGGATGAAGAACACATTGTGCAACAATGGAATCTTCCTGTCAATGCATTTGCAAGTTTAGTAATGAAGGATTGCAGCTTTATCACAAGAAGGACCAAGTGCCATTACTGCTTTGCACTTACCACTTGTCAGACATATGGATGTGGGCATTTGATTTGTAATGCATGTGTGAAAGGTATTCTATTGTGATTTATCTTTCGTTGTTGTTAAAGATCAAGTGTCATTTGCTGTTTCAACAGTTTTTTTCTTGCTTTTTCATCTTGTGTACAGGCTATGTTGAAAGAAAGATCGGTTTGCATGACATCAACATGACATGTATGATTGATCATTGTGGAGTAATGATGTGCAAGTCTGTCTTCCTTAATGACGTCTCAGCTGAGTTCCGAACCCATTTCAAGAACAATCTACTCACTAGCTACCCGAGCTACAAGTCGTCCTCTCCCTACACTTGTGTTTTCGAATCAGTTTCCAGCATGAAATGGATCATCCTATGCTGTGTTATCTTTGCTGGTTTAATCTACCGTGGAACCTGCAAATTTGATTTTGGATTCAGCTTTACAATGTAACTGCAGGTAATCACCCATTTCTGCTGTGTTATCTTTTTAAATCCTGACATTAAAATCCATTGTTGAATGTATGTATGTTCATCTTTTCTTCTCGCAGTATGTTCTCCCTCGTTGGTGACAACATCCGTAAAGACTTATCTCCCATGGTATCAGGACGATCTCTTCGTCTTGCAGTATGTTCTCCCTTGTCCTCAGCCTACTTAGTGTATACTCTGTTTTTAGCTTGAAACCCCTAATGTTCTGATGGTTTTGAGTGTGATGTTACATTTGCAAAGTAAAAGAATATATAGTACTTACGTTTGATGTTTGCCATTGATGGTGAATTTGTTCCTGCTGACCCACCATTATCTAGAATCTCTGGAATCTTGGTGGCAGATTGTAAAACCATCTTTGCGTGCAGCACCTGATCATTCTCTTCCTTTCCACCCATCTCTATCGCTTCTATGATTTCCCCATATCTCCTTTAACACCAAAAACAAACACTATAATGTGAATGATGAGTGTACCTGGTGAAGTAGGCATGCACTTCTGCTTCAGAGATTGGGTATCCTCTAGAAAACGTGAGGAAGATAGTCCTGGCGTCTGCAGTTACTTGCTCATCCCCGGAGATTAAGGCAGCAGCAACATGTTCTTCCCTCCTACATAATTAGTTGTTTCTTGCTGACCACACAAGAACTGGTTCATCTTCTCTGTCGCCTTTTCCCTCTTTTCATTATACATCTCAGCGCTCAGGCATATATACTCAAAAGCTGGGTAGCATACTCGGGTTAAGTGCTTCTTTATCTCAAGGAGAATGCTTTCGCGGTGTTCAAAGGTATAGTAAACATTGATATTTTGCCCCAACTTGGCAACGAACGCTGAAAGATCATCATATGACAAGCAGTTCAGACACATCACGACTTCGTCAGCCACTGCGTTGATAAAAAATCGGGTAAAGAGACAAGATGTACGACCAGGGTTGCTCACGAGAGCAGGTTGCTCACGAGAGCAGTTTGCTCGAGAGAGGAGAAAGCTCATGACCTGTAATGACTGGCTAATGTCTCGTCTTAGATTTAAGACAAGACGAGTGAAAGAGATCTGTCAAGCTTGTGGAAAGCATTGAACTCTTCTCTCGTCACGGATACGGCGGCTGAAGTTGATGAGGAAGCCATTCAGACAAACATCAGTACAAAACGCTTTCTATCACGCAAATACGCAATAAGTCCCTAACCAATTCCCTATGCCAATTAAAAAAAAAAAAATTCCCTATGCCAATCCATAACCAAGTTAAACTAAACACAAGTGTCCTGAAGGATAAATGACCCAATCAACGAGAAGAAAATAACACCAAAAAAGCTATAGATATATGATAACTAGTATTTAGTAAATCATAAAATAAAATAAAAGAATACAATGAAAATGAAAATTCTGTGTACAGTTTAATTTGTATGTAACTGGTGACAGTGGGAACGAACTTGGCTAACTAAACCAAGAAAGAAAAAAATCATTTTTCGTCGATCTAAAAATACACTCTGTGTAGAACATTGATTAAAAACAAAAGTTACGTATTTAAAACAAATTTTACGTAATGAGTACAAATGATTGTAATTTTTTTTTGTTTTTTATTCCACACAAGATTTTTTTGTTTTTTTTTTTGTTAGTCTATAACTTGCATCACACTATTCACATATAATTGCTACTAGTTGAATCCGAATTGGATGGCGATGCTCGTAAAAATTAATACGCTAGTTCTTGCCATTTCATTGGCCACACAAATTATCAAATATCTTTTATCTATTTATAACGTAAATTTATCACTAGAATTATTACTATATATGCATGTGGAGTAATTATATAGTTTGATTTATTATGAACATTCAACTTGTCGAGAAAGATGGCATGTTCTTCTTCTCTGTTCAATAGATAGAATTTTAGAAGTATAGTAAAGAAGCGAGCCATGTGATCCTTGGATTGTCCATGTACTGATGTACACATTCTCACTCTAACGCAATCACCACATTTCTCGTACATCCCTTCTCAATCCTCATGCTTTCGTTCTTTGTTTTACCCTCTAACATTATAGAAACTAACTGTTGTAAAACGAAAAAAAAATATATATCTTTAACTAATGCAAACACAGCACAACCTAACTCAAATTCAATTCTTCGGAAAATAAAATAAATCATGATTGTTAAGAGTACGAGTTATCATACTCATCACTCAACTTAATTACTAAATCAATAATACTACATGTTTTCAATATACTTATTATTATTATTTTTTTGAAGTATTTCTCAAATTAATTCAAGAAAAAAACCTTTTTACATCAGATGCAACTTAGAATTGAGAGTTTGGAAAGACTGAAAAAATACAATCGAGTAAATCAACGAAAGCGGGGATTACTGGAAGCTATGGTTGAGCTCCAAACCACGCTTGGAAAGCCTCCTCATAGGTGTTGTCTCCTGAAGCGTGAATCGAAGAAATCTTGTTCTGAACTTGTCTATCAATGAAATGGGTAAGGGGCGAAGGAGTAGTGGCATGTCGCCTTGCCTCCATATACTGTGAAGTGTTAGCTGAAATACATAGCGAGTAAGCAGTCCCTGAGTTCTCTTCAGGTTCTTATCCGCTATGTAGTTTAGTATTTCCTGCCATTCTGCCGAGAACATTGGACCAAAGAGTTTCTTAGTGAGTGTTGCTAACACTTCTAAGGAGAACTTACATTGGAAAAAGAGATGGTCCAGATATGGTGATCTTTTTTTTTTTTTTTAATTCTGTAAATGCTTTATAGTATGACAGTTGTATGGCGTTCCGAATCTTAGGATACAACTACATTATTCTTATGATTTGTATCATCCTAAACTTATTAGCTTTCGAACTTTTTTTTTGGGTCAAAAGCTTTCGAACCTTTTTTGTATTGTACTTTCGTGATGGTGGAAAACTAAAAAAAAAGAAAAAAAAGTGTGTGGAGATTGTTTTAAATTCTTCTTATAAAGAATGAGAGATAATTCATTTTCATAATGACAATTGAGGTGAGTTAAAATATTTGAAGTTACCAAATCAAAATTGAATTTTCACTTACTTGTCACTTAAGTCACATTGACAACATCAATTGGAGGAGATAGTTTTATTGACTTTGCCAACAACAACATGAGTTTATTCCGTTGACCTATTAGCCAAATCTCGAAGCTCAAAGCTTAAACCCTGCTCGAGTGTCTCCTCTCTACAATACAGCATATGTATCTTATGGAAAATAACAGCAACTAGGTTAACTGTTTATGTGGAGAAGATAAGAGAACAAGCAGTTGGGTTTATAATATCTCTCCTCGTATGACATATGATTGTGATATTATATATCCACATTCATTCAATATTGATTAGATGTATCCATATTATCATGCATACATCTTAAGATATGAGCTATTATTGCATTTGTTATATGCCACATGTCTGTATAATATATATAAATTATATATTAACTATAAATTTATATAGGTCAATGACTCAATGGCGTGTATGACCTTTTTGTACTCTCGATTAACAGGGTGTGTGTCTAACATAGACGAACAAATAACATAGAAAGTAGGTTATGAGTTATAACGTATATTATTTAGTTTTCATGGTCACACTCTAAAAACTTCTTTAAATATATTGGTCTCACTGATTTTAATGTTCTCCAGCCAAACTGCTGAAAGCGTGTGAAAGTATTATACTCCTTTCAAGCTCTTTTCTTGGACCCAAGAGCCAAGAACTGCAGATTTTGGTGAGATCAGGTCATGTTGATGTTCAAAAGAAACTTGAATATATTGGCTCACCTTTCTCCAGCATTCAATCTATTCTATGTAATTGCAATTTTTAAAATATTGTTGAAAAAACTAGGAATTATCCACGTGCTTTTTTTGTCCCCTAGTATCTCTTTTTATTTGCAAATTACAAAGGAAATTTTCTTCTTATGTCTATATAATACTATTATACTACTAATTATGTGTTTAATTAACAGTATATTAAAAATAAATTGGTTCTTGAATTTTTATTTGATTCAAATTAAATTGCAAAACATTAATATCTATGTAACTACGAAGATGATAATTTATTTAGTTGGTTTTTGTTTTGCTGTTTTGTGAATTATTTAATCAATGGCCTACATAATCTGTGTTTAAACTATTTATAAGTAGTTTTGTATTGGCGTTTACAAGTGATTTATTTTTTTTTATAGAATTTTTTTAGTTTTTGGTTTAATACTTATGGATAATAAACTAATACCAATATATACGAGTGCTAATTATTGGGATTAGAATTATGTCCATATCCCATAACAAAGTAAATAGTAGTAAGGTACACATCTTCTATCCATTGCAAAACACAATTTTGGTATTAGAAACCTTACTGCCATGCTGAAAAAATTCAAGACAACAGCTTCTCCATTTTCTGATCTCACTTACCTAATTGGTTTTGGGAAGTTGAACAGAACTCTATAGTATAGTATACTAAAAGTGTGATAAACGAACTGATGTTATCAGTTTGAAGATGGATCGAGTCATGTTATGATTCTAAAAGTTATCCCATGTTGTTGGAATTCTCATGAATTCAATGATAACCTAAAATCTATTGGAGAAAATTCACATAAATCTAAATTTCAACTATGTTGCCTTTTTCAAATTTGAGAAATACTAATTTTTAGATCAATTTGGAATTAAATTTTCATGTTGTATTTGTCTGCATTTTTTTTTTTTTTTTTGAACTTTTGCTTAAAGGGAGAAGTATGCAGTTTCTTCAGTGAAGTTTTTATTTGTTTTGACTTTATTTAACACCCAAAAAATGGTTCACAGTCTAGAGTTTAGGTTGCAATTTTCATAAGCAAAGCTTGTGCAAAATAATTTTTGGTTTACCAAGACTTATATATAGGGATTGCAAATACATATAGAGATTGCATATATAAGTTAGAATAAGAATTGTCTGTACCCTACTGTTGTGATTTATTTTTAGATTTTTAGTATTTAGTAAGAATAAGACTAAAAGTAGGTGGGTTTTGACTTAATTACCTCGAGCTTTAATAACTGTTCCGTCTCTTTGCATGCTAGTTACTGATTATTAGCTTGATTATGTCTGTTTTTCTCTTCTTTTTCCCGTTGCTTATTCATTTCTGTTGTTTTCTTTTCTTTCAGAAACTATTTCTCAAATATATGATCACACAAACTGGCCTGGCAGCAAGAGTTTGGGAATGGGAACCTGGAGGCTTTGATATCTACTGGCTCTACAATTCGAGACTATCTCATTTCCCAGATGCAAGCTAATTTCTGGATAGCAGCGTTTACCCAAGCTGGGTATGTGGTTTATGTCTGTTTGTTTGCTGTTCATGTGATCTTGTGCTTTGTGTTTTTGTCTTTCTCAGCTTCTGTATCATATATTATTTGCAGCTGCGATCTGCTCAAGCTTATGATCTCCCA